ATGGCCTTTACACACACACACTTTTCATTCTGTTTCACTCTGCGCGAGTGTGTGCGTGTCCAAAGTTGACACGGAAGCTCATCTCTCTTGTTTTGCGTGTGTGTGTTAAAGCGAAAGAGGCAGAGGATGTTAGTGGGTGGGTGTAAATCTCTGTCGGGCAGCATGTTTCGATGGGTGTTTGGGGACTGGTTGAGGAGCTGGCTCACAGCAGCTCAGATTGATGAAGTGATGGTGATGGATGGAGGTAATAAAGGCCTGGATGTCCTGTCTGTTGCTCGTGATGAAGCTGGTATGAATCACCCGTCTGAGGATGCGGAACGTGGCGCTGCTCATTCCCGAGCTTTGCCACCCAACTCTGCCTCCGTCCCTCGGTTCTTTTATCTCTCTGCCCTGTGACCTGCCGTCATCACGAGGAGAATTCTGCCCGAGCGGAGCAACAGCGTGCCGTCACTGCACCCATTTGTGCTGATGCATCCTCAGAAAGGCCTGTTTATCCATTCACAAACGCAGCATGCGCCCAGTTCAAAGGACTGCGCGCGGTTCATTAATTTTGTGTCCAAACTTGACGAGTGATTGCAAGGGGAAAAAAATCCAATCAACTCAACCAGCCACTCCTCGTGAACGGGGTCGTTTGAATAAAGAGGGGCATCTGAAATTGCAGTGTTTGTGTCAACATAAGTTAATGATCGCAGATGATAATTGGTAGTTGGAGGCTGCAGCGCCCGTGTTGTGGCCCCGTGAGGTGCGGTGCCAAGGACCTCCTGTGATAAAAGAAGCCGCACGAGGGCTTTCAAAGTGGCACCGTGCTGTAGGCAACACAATTCATCACCGCTCCATGAATATTCATCCAGCTCTCCGTTTCCTCCGGGGGCTGCTGGGAACACGTCTGTATTAAGTCTCCTCAATGTGTTGCGGTTTGAAGACACCTAAACCTTCTGGCCTCTCATTACCAGACTGCGCTCTTGCTGCCTAGCGCTCAGCTACCTGCCAGGGAGGAAAGCCACACTTCATTAAAATAAAAGGGAAATTCTCCCGTTCCGTGCACTAACAAGGCAAAGGTGAGACAGTGAGCGAGCGCTCACAGGGGTCAGAATTAGTGATCATGAATGAGGTTTCTTCTCCGGTTTGTGGTCAGGTGGGATCTGAGCAGCGCAACTAAAAACCTGAAAACACTCTCCTCCGCCAACGTTCTCACTGTCAGCAGCCCACAGTTTTGATGGTCTCTGCTGCATCTTTTCGGCGCTTTATCAGACCTGCAGGCTTCTAAGTGCTGTCCCCAGATTACAGTTTAGGAAAAGGGTGCTTTGACTGACAGGCCTTGGCCTTGACGGTCCCTCGGGGGAAGGGGAGAGGGATTTGTGATGGCTGCACCGACTCGTACTTCTCTTACAATTTTCTCCAGGCAGGTTTCAGACTGTCAGGCTGAGGGAAAGCTCTGTCTCTCTCTGCATAATTCATTAGATCTTCCCTCTTTTTCACTCTTGGCGGCTGTGTGGCAGCCACTGTAGCGCCATTGTTTTGGAAGACAGAGTAATGGAGCTTGTCACAATATCTTCACATAGTTTATTGTTCACAGCAACAGTTTGGAAACAAATTAACTTCTGATAGGAGCTATTCAAATGAGCTATTGAAGCAACACAGCTTAAAACCCTGGCCTTATTTTTCAGAAACGGCGAACAGGAGAAAGCGATTAATTACTGATGATTTCAGCTGCGATGTCAACAACAACAAAAGCTTGGCTATTAGTTTGTGGTCCAAAACAGGACATAACAAGTGAGGTTGTCGCCACAAAACACTGTTTTGCAGCCAATTACCGCAGCAGTGCCTGCTGTCCTTTTGAAGCGTGTATACTGTCTATTGTCATGACCTGGCTGGCATTTACTTCCTGCAAATCTGCAATGGAAAATATCTCATTTTTGACATCCTCCTTTACAAAATATGACTAAACAAGCACATCCTTCAGCAAACAGTGTTGCAAACTGAAGCCAGAGGGCAAATCCTGTCAGTGTGGCTGTAAATAAAGCCAAGACTTTCTAAGGAAATGTGTCTGTGTCATGTTGGCCTCTGCAACACCTTTTGGTACACGTATATCCAAAAAATCTGAAACTATGTCGTCATCTGTGATGTCTTTAGACACTTTGTCTTTTATTGAAAAAGAAAAATGGATTTTTCCGCCCCCAGCTTCAGGTATATTACCGTCTTTGATCTGTTTTTGAGCTTTCGTGAGCATTCTTTGAATATTACCCGTCAGCTCTTGTAAAGATTAATCTTTTTGATCAGGAGTTTGGTTTTAATGTGACAGAAAGGTCATAATGTAAGCCCGGTACAAAGGTAAACTTTATTATTATTATTGAAGAGCTGATAAATGGAATCAAATGTGCCCGAGGGGGAAGTTCTACAGATATGCAGCCAAAATCTGCACGTTCGTTTGAAAGCAAAGTGATTTTTTTTTTTTTTTTTTCAAGTTTACAGCCTTGTATTAGTATTCTGATCAGACATAAAGGAGGAAAAAAAATCCATGGTTTCTCATTTAAAGTCATGAATTACTTTTACCAGCTGAATTAAACATCTTCACTTTCCTGTGTTGTTTAACGCCCAACGTGAATAAATGAGCTTGAGAAGCTCAACAAGTTGTGTTTCAAAGGATTTAAAAATAAAAATGACAACTTGGTTGTTGGATGATGATAAACATAAGAGTTTAATTCCAAAGGGACCTCGTTTTAAAATGATCCTTCAAACACAATTGCTGTGAAGAACACCTGATCATCGGTTTCCACTGGAAATTGGCTAATTCTAACATCTAACGTTATTATTAATAAGACTAAACTGTTTCCATCTTATCAGAGGCTGAAGGCAAGAGCGCTGGAGTAAAAACATGAATAAGAAATAAAAGTCAGAACGATGAGTCAATCTGCTTCCTAAATCTCCTAATCTGATATCAGAAGCTGGAGTGACATTAACACATCAACTCAGATCTAATCAAAGGAGGATCCAACAAACAGAACTGTTTCAATATTCTAAAAGCTACAGAATTGTAGAACTAGTCTTAAAAGTTTTATAATTATTTTTCAAATCTGCTGCTTTCTCCTGTTCAAAGACAGATGCTGAACAGACCCTCAGTTCAGAAACTCCATTTACTCCGGCATGTTGGACTGAAGTCCTGGTAAGGTCTACTCAGGTGTACTGGAGAAACAAGTCCGATCGCTGGTCGAACTTCAGATCCAGGAGGAACAATGCAGGTTCCATCCAGGCTGTGGAACACTGGACCAGCTCTTTACCCTCACTAGGGTCCTGGAGGGGTCATGGGAGTTTGCCCATCCAGTCTACATGTGTTTTGTGGACTTGGAGAAGGTGTTTGACCGTGTTCCTTGAGTTACACTGTGGGGGGTGCTCCGTATGGGATTGGGGGCCCGTTGCTATGGCCTTGTCGGCCCCTATACAAGCAGTGTGAGAGTTCTATTCGCATTGCTGGTAGTAAGTTGGCGGGGGGGGGGGGGGGGGATTCTGGTTCGGTGGCCTCAGGATTCCATCTCTGCTCTTTGCAGATGAAGTGGTCCTGTTAGCTCATCGTGTCGTGATCTCCAGCTCTCAATGGAGCAGTTCGCAGCCGAGTGTGAAGCGGCTGGGATGAGAATAAGCACCCCCAAATCTGAGGCCATGGTCCTCAACCAGAAAACGGTGGATTGCTCTCTTCAGGTCCAGGGTGAGGTTCTGCCTCAAGTGGAGGAGTTCAAGTATCTTTGTTTTGTTCATGAGATAGGGTGAGAAGTTCAGTTATCCAGGAGAGACTTGGAGTTGAACCGCTGCTTCTCCACATCGAGAGGAGCCAGTTGAGGTAGTTTGGGCATCTGGTAAGAATGCTCCCTGGGTGCCTCATAGGGAGGTGCTTCGGACATGTCTGACTGGGAGGAGTCCCCGGGGAACATCCAGGACACACTGGAGTCTATGTCTCTTGGTTGGCCTGCGAACGCCTTGGGCTCCCCCAGAAGAGGTGGCTGTGGAGAGGTCTGTCTCCCTGCTCAAGCTGCTGCCCCCGAGACCAGACTTCAGAACAAGCAGAGGGAGGGAGGGAGGGAGGGAGGGAGGGGGGGAGGGGGGGAGGGAGGGAGGGAGGGATGGATGGATAGATGTTGGACGGAGACGTTCTGTGCACGAAGTGAAGCAGACTACTACAACATTAAGCTCCTAAAACATTAAATTATGTTGAATCAAAAGTTCTGAACTGCCGGCTAAATATAATTAAATTAATTTACCTTTTTTTTTTTTTAGAATTAAATTGCATCTTTATTGTGGCAATCGAGGGGACAAGAGAAGCAAAGGTGGTCAATCATATTAAAAATCTTTAAGCCAGTCCAGATTTTTTCCTTGAGGGTCAGATGGATGGGCGGGAATGTCAGGCATGTTTCCGTCATCCCGCACAGGAATTGGGTAGGTGTACGGCATTGCTTAGTTTACCTTAAATTAAATGTTTGGCATTTAAAAAGCAACTCAAAAACCATGTTTTTGTAACTTATCAGTTATTAAACAAATTTTGCCACAGCATTTAAATACATTATCATTTATACAAACTTCTTTAAATGGTAACAAAACCCATTAAACTTTTTTTTTTTTTATTCTCCTGTTTTGAACCATGATTTTACATGTAAATTTGTCTTTTTTATGGTCTTCCTGCATCAAAACACTTTTTTTTTTTAAATCATCTTCTGACATTTTGCTCAGGGTTCATTGAAAGAACAAACGTTAGATAAAATTAAAGCAGATGTATTGTTACCATAACAAAAGTCTTATTCTCTCCTGTACTGGTGCATCAATTCGTTTTTAATCGAGATATTACGGCTCAGTAGCTTTAAAGGGTAACCATCTTCCTCTTTCAGGATGCAAGTTAACTCTGTTAGTTTCCTTTTCCAGTCTAACTAGTAAATACTTTACATTAGTTTTGCATAGTAATGAATTAAATGAGTGGTTTAGGCTGATTATTAGACGTTTCTTCCTCTCTCATGAACATTTTGATCCCAAACAAAAAGTTTGCCTCCCACAGTGATGCGGACAGACGTAAGTCAACAGTGCCACCTGCTGGGAAACAAACATGCTGCGCTCTGACGCAAACAACAAATCCCCAGGAGTTCAGAGATGCAGCAAACATGATTTTAGAAACTAATCTGGAGGTAAAAATTAAGTCATTAGACGAAGTCTGGATCCTCTTTACTTTGTTCTTTATTACACATTAAATAGGAGTGGTGAGACTTATGGCAAAAAAAATAGACTCATCTGAGATCAGATCATCGCTCTACAACAGGCGTGTTGTAAAGCGGTCGTTCATTCACACCCCCCCACAGACCTGGACCCAGTCACACACTCTAATCACGTACACGGAGCTGAGTGAAACTCCATGAAAGCAACATTCATTTAGACACACCGACGCAACGAAGCACAATTTACAAAATATGCACCTTTCAGTATCACAACTATACAAAGGTTGTTAAAATATGATCCAGGTACAAACGATACATTTAAGAAATCAGCTGTTGGCACGCAATAAAAGGAAGAGAAACATTTCAAATATTACAGTAAAACTAGGGGTTTTTTTTGTTTGTTTTTAACAGTTTCGTTAACAAGAGGGTTCCAAAATTAAAATTGCAGCAACAGCTAATTATCTACTTCATGAAAACGAAGAGGTAATAACAAACCAGGTCAAAACTCATTACTCCTGAAAGCAAAATGTTTCAAATCTTAATTATTTGTGACAATAGCTTCTCACCCCCCATTCCTTTCTCCCACAAAACAGCACCGTGTGCACTTGAGGCTAATTAATTGTGGTTTAGCCTCTTTTTAATGTCTAAATGCAGCACTCAGCATAAAGATAAAAGGCAAATAAAAACCCTCCAGGCAACCAGTCTGTAAATACAGTTAACAGGGTGATATATGGGCTGACCCATGAGAGAAACTAGGTGTCATTTTTATAACTATTCAGATATTTGACTTTAAAAAAAACATTTAAGGCAATTTATGCCTCCTCTAAAAACAAATACAAACATCATTTCCAATTGCACATTACACAATCATTTCTGTTGCAAGGCGGGGCCAGCAAGCTACTTCCAACATTTCTGCACACTAGTCCTAAAGTGTTTGAAAACATCTGCATGGCAAATCATCTACAACTGTATTTGGACTATATTTTTGAACAACCTCGGAGCCTTCACACCAATAATTCTTTATAACCTGCAACCAAACATTGCATTCTGCTTTCAGAAGCAATTAAAAAGAAATGCCAACTCGCACACAAACCCTCTTTACATTGAACTAAACATCTGGATCGAACGTGAAGCCCCTCCCGTGGAGCACATTTAAGGTTTTAGTAACACGAAGGAAGTTATTTTTGTCAGAATCATTCAGAACAATTCTACAAGAGTCAAACAAATCTCTGCAACAAATAAGACAAAAATTATTAAAAATGATTATGGATCTTTGAGTTTGTTATTTATCAAAAAATATTTTCACAAAAGCAAATATTGACTGCTTTATATAAACCTGAAAATCAGACTCAAGTCTGACTTCCTCCTTGCTGGCTCTGTTAAATGCATCAACTGGAGGCAATTTGCAATCTCCATGTCATTAAGGACACAAATCATGCAAAAAGAAGAAAAAAAACATCTTTTCATTTAGTAATGACAAATCAGTCCCCACACAATACAAAGCAATTAATCAATGGCTAACTAGGGTAATAAAACGTTCTGAAAAGAGTTTGCATGCATACTTATCAGTGACAAAACAAAGTCACGCCTAAAGGTCAGGAACGGGGAAATTACACAGTGGCTGGGACATTTGGAGCTCATCTGGCTCAACGTTGGTCCTCAGATCGCTTTTGTCGACGCGAGCGGGATGAATATTCATTCTTTGGCATCCCATCTTTAAAAAGGGCATTACAGAACATTTGCAGGTTGTGGCATTTCAAGCAAAGAGGCATGAATAATAATTATTAATTTGTCAAAAGTTATTACTGATGCCATTAACGCCAAATTATCACCATTTTATTTATTCATTTTTTTAAGTCTGGCTCATCCGGCTCTAAGACCAACACGTCAGCATCTGGCACTACACTAAAAAAAATTAAGCTTATTGGAGTCCAAATAAAAAAAAGGGCAGAAAACTCAGGTCAGTTTTAATATTCATCAAGTACGGTAATGGGGGGAAAAAGCTAATAATTTAGTGTGATGTACAAAACGTATTACTTGAACTGTTCAACTTGTTGTTTTGTTTACTCCGTCTTCAAAAGGAAGGTTATTCACATGAGTATACACTTTGTCTTGGACTTCTTTTTCTTCTTTTTGCCCTCCTTGCTCATCTTCTCCTTGTGCTTCCGGATTTCTCGGACTAATGTGTAAAAGGCATCATCAACACCCTGGAAACAAAAAGACAAAACAAACGGATGTTGTTAAAAAAAAAAAAAAAAAAAAAAAAGCTTTTCAAAAGACAGTATTTAATTTACAATGGTTTAAATTTTTTGAGGTGTAGTTTTGTGAAAACACTGTGAAACATAAATACACCCGTCGTAGATGGATTTTAAATTACCTCTGGAGAGATGACGTTTAAATCTGATCAGAGTCATGAGCTAACGGTTAAGCAAGGCCAAGAACAAAGCTAACTTTAACCAACTCCAATCTAAAGAAAATATTCTTACCAGTTCCTTAAAATGCCATTTTCTCAACTTTTACACCATTTGTCAGTTTTGCATTGCATCCAGCAGAAATATTATATTCCTGATGGGAAAGACCCAGGCTGCACTCGAGGTGCCACAACTAGCTGGTTTGATGTCTTCGGGTAACTAAGTAAATCTTATGTAAAACTGGCTGCTGTTTTAATGATCATCGTTCTAATGAACTGCTCTGATTTGTTGGTTTTTTTATTTAAACCAAGCAGCAGAAATCCACTTTAGGTCATGGCCTCTCTCACACTAGCAGTTCGCTCAAATCAGGTCAGAATTAAAACATTTCTCCAAACTGAGGTTGTTCAAAAAGCTTTTTACAACAGGAACGGTATCAAACCTTTACACAGAGCCCCACTTCAAACCATCTGAGCTTTTCCTTTAAGCATGTTTAACTTAAAACGCCAGAGAAATTAAAAAAAGGAAAACAAAAATGGAGATTTTTAACATGACCAATTCAGTTAATGTCACTAAAAAACACTCGGGAGTCCAAAATGTCTTGAAACATTTATGGGAGCTTTTGTGTTCCTCGTGAGTGCAATCCTGTGAAGTGAACTGTGAACATTTTTATAGAAAATTAGTTAAATTTCTCCATCTAAATTGTTATAGTACTTTGTGGGCATTTCCACAGGGTCTCTAGAGCTAGTGTTCTTTTGACACAAGCGCAGCAACTCTTCTTTGACAAAAAGTCCAGATCTAAAAACTACGTCAACGATAAAGAATGAATAAAAAGTATTTAAAAAGCTGCTCTTTTTGCAGATTATGACTGAACTCCAGTGGATTAAATCATAAACGTGGGGGCAACTGCTAGGCCGAGTACAAAACGGTCCAGGGTGGATAAGATGTAGGCAGAGGTGGCCAACAAAATAATGTGCATGACCTGGAATACAGCTTTGTGAGCCTTGCAAACAAAAACAAAGGCCGTAATTTTATTATTTTTTTAAACTGGCAGCACAAACAGTGGCTGAACAGCTCACAGAGAAGACATTCAGAATTCAGTGACTGCAACAAAAATGTGATTTATTTTCAAACAGTTTTGATTCATGAACTAGTCTCTGACAGTTGCAGGCCAGTGACGAGCAGGACGATGGTGAATGATGCAATTAAATATGCATTTCAGAGTAAAAACAATCAGTGTCCGGCACCAACACAAACAGGAGCTGCAGTTATACAAGCCATTTTCTTTCTTTTTTTTTAAAGAAATCCACTCACAAATTGTGGCTAAAGAAAACTTGCCAGTAAATTAAAAAGTAAATTAAAAAACATTTATTTTGAGCATTTCATCAACCCAATTCAGAAAAGTTGGTTACACACAACAACTGCAAGTTCGCTTGTGTTAACAGTTTTGGAAATACATTCTGATTATTTTGTTTCTAACATCCAACGCTAGATGTCTCACTGAAACAAGCGCCAGTCACCTCTCATGGAGCAACAAATTAAAAGCAGAGTGACGCTCAGGTAAGTAGATTGAAAGTATACAGCTTTTATGTAAAACTAAAAACACGCTGCCATCTTGACCTGGACACCCTACAAGAAGTACGGTTTATCTCAGTTGGACCTTCCTGGTAATAGGAACATAAATAAACTACGTAAACCCCCATAAAATGTCAAATTATTAAGATGGAGCTCCTCTATCACAGAAGTAAAAAAAGGCTTCATGGCAATGCAGCTAGTGTCATGTTGATGCCACGCTGTCACTGTACACGCACGTGATTGGTTGACAAAAAGCAATTTAAGTGATGATCTGCAAAGAGCTGTTGAGGAAACAACGTGATACATTCAGGTCGCCACAAAGACAGGACAAAAAACAGAAAAATTCAAGTCTGTGAGATGAACACATTCCATGTAGTTAACACATTTCAGCATGATTTAAACCCACATATACAATAACATCCTTTAATCACAAAAGATGACTAACCAGCCAAAACCCCTGAGCTCATTTCAGCCTATTTGGTCATTTTCACACTGATACTTTCATCTGAATTTAAATGAACTTTGATCATAAGAATACATTTTTATACAGAACTACAAACCAAAAGTAATTTTACTAAATTTGATGACACTCATTCACCATCACAAGAAAAATATATATTTTTTTTAAAGATGTGTTTGAAAGCACCCTGGCTCAATAAATGACCTCAGTGTGAAAATGGCCTCGGATCATAATCAACCACAATACTCAGAAACACTGAGAGAAGAAGAAAACATTTCAGCCTCATGTTAGCGCCTCACCACAGCCCTCGTAGAAACCAGCAGGTTAGCTTTGAGAACAGTTAAAAGCTCCAGCTCCCACTGGTTGTCGTCTTCCACGGTCTTTCCAGACGCCCCACTAACAACACAAATAGAGCTGGTGGATGCTGCGTACACTTACCCCTCTCACATCACAACACACTTTTTAAGCTGGACACAGCCTGGAGTCTTTTCTTCCTTGCTGATCTTATTGTGCCGGTACTGCCTGATCTCCCGTACCAGAGTGTAAAAGGCATCTTCCACTTTCTGCAGTATAAGACACAACTTTCCTCAATGCTGAGGAATGCAGGGGGGGTCATACTGTATGGTGCATGTGCTATCATCTACAGATACACAGAGCTTGAGAGATGAGTGGTCTGTTTCAAGGTGAGTCTTCTTGATATGTGTAGTGGTTGCATTGTTAATCACGCACAGCGTACAGTAATTGAAAAAAAAACATTTACTTTGCAGGCTTGGAAAGGATCGGACCATTTCCTCCTTAAGGGGGATGAACGATAATTTTTTTTACCTCAAGTTACACCTTGGTGCACAGTATCACTGTCCGCTTAGAATGGCTTGTCATTTCTTCTTACTACATGTATTTTAAGGGATTTTAAAAGGACTTCTCAAAGATTTTCACCTTTATTTCTCAGGTTAGAGAAGCAGCAAACAACTTTTGAAAAGTTTAACTGTAAGTCTGCTTGCAGCACACACAAAAAGGGGGTGTTGGAAGATTTCCATCATCTCTGGATTGCAGGCTCTCTACAGCTTTGCTTTATCCTCCATAATGCAACTTGCCTGCTCCGTCACACTAGCTTTTTGCAACAGTAATTTCTATTTATTTATTTTTTTGCTTAAAATCACACATATGAATAACTTCTACAAAAAAATTTATTTATTTTGAAGCTTTGTTTAATCTGTAACTGTACGGCTCAGCGGTTAATGTGTTTTATAAGGACGTTATTACTGATGCAAAACATGGAGAAAGAGAAGATGTGAAAATCTGAGGGAAAATTGTACAAGTTTAGCACTAAAAAGCAAATATACAATGATTTAAAATGTGATGATGTAAAAAAATAAAATGATGTAAATCCCTACAAAGCAAAAGGCATCGGTAAACGTCGAGTAGATTGATCTTTACAATAAGACCTGAGAGAGCAGCTTCCTGAATCGTTGTGCACAGACCGGAAAAAGAATTGTAAAACATGTCGGAGAGAAGCTGCATCCGTGCAGATGAAACAGTTCAACAAATCTTCACATTTTTTTTTACACACAGATTGAAAATGTGTCAAAATGAAAATTTATACCGTTGCTGGCATACTTATAAAAGTAATCCCAAGTTGTTGGATTTCCCCATTTTCAGCTCTGAGGATCTAAAATATTTTAGCTTTGACTAAGAAGTCACCTGCTTTAAGCTGTGTCAAACATATTTTTAGAAAAGCACAAACAAAACTTTTGGATTGTTGAGGACAAAACATTGAACTCTGGTCAAAAACATTTCAGGTCATTCTGTTCAGCTACCTGTCTGAGACCAGTGTCTTGTAATGAAAAGTTAATGGTTTCACAAATGTATGGAACATCAAAGGGACGGTTTTTAAGGAAAGATCTTCTGGTGAGGTTTGCAAATAAAATCACAACTATTTTTGGTACTGCACTGGCGTATACATGTGCACAAGTGTGTGCAGTCCTGACAACAGGGAGGAGGTCGTGGTTTTTAATATAGACAAAACAAACTTTGGCTACATTCACACTGCAGGCAAAAGCAGATCCAAATCATACAGAGCAAAAAATAGTTATCGAGCGTTCAAACCTGCAGCGTGAACGCAGCCAAAGATGGTGGAACGGCCAGTGTAAGAAGTTTTTTTTTTAAAAGATAAAACACTTTCCAAGCCTGCAATAAGTGAATAATTGAGTGAAATATCACTTTCATGGAGCTCAATACATGTGAAGGGTGCATGTATTTACCATACAAGTTGTGTGTTGGGCAATAAGAGGTGAAAAAAAAATAATAATCCAGAGAAGTCAACAGAAAATATCTGGGAAAAACAACAACTTGCTTCTAATGAAAGCAACCGTTGCCTAATGAACAGAAACAGCACCACATGGACAGAAATTACTGGTCCACTCAGGTTGGGATAGGTGGACAAAACTGGGCGAACTGAATAGTAAAGCTGCAAGAAATTAGTCACTGTGACATTAATTTCCCCACACCAGAAAGAACCATGATTCACTCCCCCACGTAAGAAACCAGGAATAATGCGTTTATAGATTGCTCCATCAGTCAGTTTCCTAAGGCCATGCTCACAACACACACCACAGGAGGTGACACCACAGCAAATCTTCCAGCACCCAGTGACAGTGACCAGTAAGCAGAATCATTACCCGCCGAGTAATTACCGACAGTTTGTCCTTTCATGCAGACACCTTGACACAAATCAACTGATTTGCTGATTATTTATTGTGTGGGACCCTTTGCAGGTGGGCCTAATGATGATGTAATTTCACATACACATGACAAATTAGCATGCAATGATCACACTATCCCCCATAAATAAAAAATTCAATTATCCAAAGAGGATTTAATGAAGCTCAACACATTAGCTGGTAAATTTCCCAGCAATATTATTATAAAAAAAACACCATTAGAGAGAGTAAAGTGACACAAATCAACAGGACCACATGATAGAATCACATTTCTTGCAAAATGTATTAACCCCTCCCAAGGACACCTGTTAAAATTACACAGATCTGAATTTCTCTGGGAACATAAACACGAACATGTAATCAAAATTAAACTAGGCAGCTGTACTAAGGAAGCTGTGGGTGGGAACTCACCTGTCTTGTTTTGGCTGAGGTCTCGATAAAGGGAATGTTGTAGCTGCGTGCTAAGTCATGAGCCTGCTTTGTATCCACCGTCCGGGTCGGCAGGTCACACTTATTCCCTACCAACACCATGGGGACATCCTCAGAGTCCTTCACCCGTTTAATTTGTTCTCTGGATGTTCAAAAAGAAAAAAAAAAAATCTAAGTAACAGTCATTAGGTAATTGACTACACCAATGCAGCTACAAAAGATGCAAAGAGACATAAATGCAGTGATTTGACTATTCTAGATATTTTCAAGTTAAAGAACAAAAAAGCGTTTGGAAAACAGGTCGATTGTAGTTCAGAGTTAATATGGTACATAATCCCAGCACAGACATAGTTCCACCATTCCCCTACAATTTACATTTTCATACCAAGACAGACACATCCTCCTTCTTTTTGTAATATAGGCTGAAGATAAATTGGTGAAGCTATTAGACCTTAAAAACTAAAAACTGACATTTTTCAGAGGCACACATCCAAGTGCATTGAAAAAAATAATAACGATGAGTAAATTCTTCTTTTTTTTCTTTTTTAATTGGCACAACATGTATGATAGTATCTAATTTGATGTGCTATGATGAATTTAGTTTGATACTCATTAAAATCTATGAACTAAGTTGTCTGGAAAGCACAAGAAGCACCGATGGAGTAAGAGAAACAGATGAGCAGACAGTCCTGAGCAGACTGTTGGTTTTGTCAGTAAAGCTCTGTAATTATACTTTAATAGGTTAAAAAAAAAAACTTTAGCTGAATGTTGCAGTAATTAAGACTTTAAAACATATTCTGTAATACCTAAACAGTTTTTCTGTAGGTTTATATTTAGTATATTTATAAACCGTCATGAAAAAGACGTACACTTTTAATGGTGTTATAAAACGATTATTGTACCGGTATATATTTATAGCCATGTAGAAGCCTTCTTTCTCAAATCAGACACTGGGACAGCATAAATATTTATCACACGGTTGATTAAAGCTACAAAAATCACACCTATAATGTTTTTAGGATCACTTAAGTGAGATTTAAAAAATTCACACCAGGTGGGAAGGCTGGACCCCTCACTCACCTATAGTGGTGAATGTCCTCGAAGGACTTGGTGTTGTTGATGGCAAAGACACAGAGGAAACCCTCCCCTGTCCTCATGTACTGATCCCTCATGGCGCTGTACTCCTCCTGACCTGCTGTGTCGAGGATGTCCAGCAGACATGTCTCCCCGTCAATAACTACCTGCTTTCTGTAGGAGTCCTGGAACAGTAAACGTTTAAAAAAATTATCAGAAGCCGGACACACAAAAAAAGCCTAAATTTCCATTATTAGATACAAAAAAAAAAAAGAATGAGAGTTTTAAACAATAAAAATAATAAGGATTCTTTTACAATGGATAGAATTTTGCAGCCTCAAGAATGTCCAGATAACTATATTCAACAGTAAGTGATTGGGAAAAATGAAACGGTGTACAAATGCCTATTCTAGTTAACATTATTCAATATCTGTTCATCGTGTTTTGGAGCAACAAAAACAAAGCTGGTTTTTTTCCCATTGTTCCAACTGGACATTAATAAATTACAATCCCATGTTTACAAACAAGACACCACTTAAAGTATTGCCCCTCTCCATCTGCAAAGGGGCACGGTTTTCTTGCAGAGCTCATATTACAAAAAGGTTCCAGCCAGTGTCAAAGTACTCCGGTTCTTCATTGAACCGATGGCTACATTCAATTGGACCCAACAGCAATAATTACAGACTCATCCAATGAGCAGCCGTACTTTCAGATGCTATCTTGTGTCCAACTAATCTATGGTAGAGCTCCGACCTGCCACAGCATTTCAATAATTGATTGAAATCATAATGAGACTGTTCACACGCCACAGAATGGCACTCTGAGAAACTGGGCAGGTAGCCAGGCATGAAAAGGCATTATAAACCCGTTTGGTGTCTTTTTTTTGTTTTTTTACTTAAAACCAGTAGAGCCTGTTGCAAGTTCCAGCTTTTTAAAGTTTCTGTGTGTTTTTTTAATTGTACTCCTGTATCTTGGCACAGAAGCAAAATGTCAGAGACAGTTGCGAAGTTAAGTGAATATGCTTTACAGCTTTTCTTACCAGCTTTATTTATAAAGCACTTTAAACAACCTTAGGACCAAAGTGCTGCACAGTTACAGTCAATAAAACCAAATAGCAGTCACAATACATAATAAAAATATAAGACAGCAAACCAAAAACAGCCTTATATTAAACAAAAACAAATAGATCAATCATTTAAATTAATTTAGGTCCAATTAATCTAAAATTGGATTGAAAATCAACATCTCAGGTGGTGCCAAAAGCCAAGGAGAAAGAGATGAGTTTAAAAAAGTGATTTTAAAACAGACAGGGAGGGCGCCTATCTGATACTCAAAGGCTGGTTGTTCCACATTTTAGGAGCAACAGCAGAGAAAACACGATCCCCTCGAAGCTCTCATTTTGTTTTTGGGACGCTCAGGAGCCGCTGGTCTGCTGACCTGAGAGAACGGGAGGGTGTGTACGGGTGTAGCAGCTCAGTTTCTTTACCTCGATCGTCGGGTCGTATTCATCCACAAAGTGATTCTGGATGAGTTGAATAGTTAGTGCGCTCTTGCCTACGCCACCAGCTCCCACCACAACCAGCTTATATTCTGTCATGATTTACCTGAAACATCAGAAAAAAAAAAGAAGATTTCAGAATATTTACACAGACATGAGCAGTCGAGTGTCACATCATCGATTCACCCGAGGCATCATCAAAACCTCGGAAGGAAAAATGTGTTTTTCTATTGTTTTCACCTTGAAACAAGTTTTCTTACATCTTTCCTAAAGGCAAATTCAAGTAGTTTGAGGCAAATTTCAAAACTTTTTTAGCACTTTATTGTGGTGATTCAGTAGTTTTTCCCAAAGTGATAATATCAACTGAGAATTATTCATTTCCACAGAAAATCAGATGTTCGATGCTGTAACTAAACTTTTGTTGTGGGGTTGTTAACAGACGTGAAAAACAAAAAGCATACACAACATAGTAAAACTAAAATACATTTCTCAAGCTTTATAAACCGCAGTATATAAATGTTAACCAGTCGTTTTTAGCAATGGATTATTTAAAATATGTCAGATATAAAAGCATTAGTCCACTTTTTAAAAATGCAAACAATTATCCTAAAAAAAAAAAAAATATTCTATTTTTTTTTAAATAATTTAGAAAGTCTGCAAAGCATTGTTTTCTTTTTAAAACGTTAATAAATAAATAAATAAATACTATAATAAAAAGCATTTTTATTTAATATAAATAAATTCATTTAAAATGCATTTATTTTTAAAGCTTGGTAGAAATTTCCAAGTGTGATTTCTGTTTCTACATCCAGTTAGTGTTTGTTATTTTTCTCTGATAAACTGTGAAATGTGTGCGCTCAAGATTGCCGGACTGACAGTTAAAAACACTGCTGAATCGTTGGAAAATTAGACTTCATACTGCTGAGGGGGGTTAGATTGTACAAGAAGCACAAGGAGAGAAAAAACCATTCAGACATCAGAAATAGAATCTGGTGAATAATCTACATATAGTATTGGGGGGGGGGGGGAAGCATCTGAATTCAGGAAAACTTAAAGTAAAAGTTGAAACTGACTAAATTTAGACATTGTTCAGTTGTAAACACATGCACACATAAAGAAAAGTCTGAACAAGCCCTTTGAGTCCTATTTTTAAAATAGTACCAGCTCAGGAACTGAATCTAACCACAGGCATAAATCTATAAGATTACATAAAATCTCCAAAAGTGACAGCCAGCAGGGAAGCTTTCTGCTGTCTGACTGCTTTGTGGATCAACATCCATCAATAGAGGCAGCTGGCCTTTTCAGAAGTTACAGCACAAAGCCACTACGTATCGATTCCATGTGTAGAAACAGGCAAAACTACATGTTGTAGTGGGCACTTATTCACAAAAATATATTTAAAGCACTCAGCTATGGAAAAGAACCTCAAAAACCACAGTAATGATGCTCATCTGGTACCTGCATGTCATGTTTGTAGATGATGAAAGCTGTAACTGAAAGGACTTGTTCAGATGACTTCAGCAACATTCAGGGAGGTGAACAAGTCTCTTTGTGTTGTCATGTCTATCATTACTGGAGCAGCAGAGAGGGACATTTAAAACTAAAACTCACATTTTCCGTATGGGTTGCTTTTTTGTGGCTTCTAACTATTGATGTTGTGGATTCAAAGTTGACTCCTGGACACTGTTTTCACTTAAAACCTCATCTTACATCGGAAAAACTGCTCGATATCTCAGCACAAACCCGAAGACTAATGGAGATTGATTAGCAGCCATATCAACAAAATGCTACTTTGAAAACAGTTTGCTGCCTGCAGCATCCGAGGCTTTTCAATGGAAGCAGTTTGTTCAAGCAGACAGGGACACCTGGGGTAGACTTTTTTTTAAAAAGAAAAGAAGAAAAAAAAGTTGAAAGGAATTTAATTTAAATCCTGCGCCCTGACCTGAATGGAGAGGAAGCCTCGGAACACCGGTCGGCTCAGCCGTTAGCTAGCTTAGCTTTAAGGTCGCCCGCAGGCTAAAAGTGAACACACAGCAGCCTTATCTACACTGTCCTGTTGTGTTTAGCAAAAATAAGCCGATAAACCTGTATTGTGTGCAGTTTGTGCCCGACACAGCCGCTATCGTTCATTCAAAAGGAAAGAGACGCCGCCATCGTCAAGCTAGCAAAGCTCTGCAGTGCAGGGCCAGACTGTAGTTTAACAACTGGGCGTAGTTTGTTCTAAAAATAAAAACTACTTAGCTCAAAGTTTATAACCCCCTACACGATTACCTGCACTTATCAGCGGGAGCGGGTGGGTGATGATGTAATAAATGTGAATAAACTGGGGGGGCCCACGAATGAAAGCGTGTCGTCGGGTTTGATTTACCTTGTTTTCAGCGAGTGGAGTTCCGCGTCGGAAGAGTCAGACAGATCCTCTGGCTTCACGCGATCTCTGCATTTCCTACTTCTCGTCGAAAAATGCCCGCGTTCAAATCGGTCTAACGCCGTCTCGGAAGCCAAACGGGAACATGCGAGAAACGTGGAGGGGATTGGAAGGGGGGGAGGGGGGGAGGAAGGGAGGAAAACAAAGTGGAGAAATTAATCGATTGAACTTTCCATCTGATCCAGCGTCCCCCCCGGCCTTGTCGCTGCCGCCGCTCCTCCGTGTGGTGATCCAGAATATGGGCGGATACCAGCGCGCACTTTACCCACAAGGCCTAGCTGCTCTGGGTCAGGCCGCTGAGCAGTGTCGCAACTCGAGCTCTTATCTGCGCTCCTTTATGTGTTCGCTACTCATTTACGCCAGCTTTTGACCTCATTTTCAACTTCTAAGTGCCTCCATTGAATGCGCCATTATCACCAGTCTTAGACGCTATTTATTAAAACTGAAACCAACCGTGAGGTCTGATTTGTTTTATTCACCTCAGAATATTGTGTGATCTTATGCACTATCGCACAGTTTCATGCCTTCAGTGCTGCAGCCTTCTGCTGCAGAGTCAACAAAGCCTAGGGGGCGACTGCAGTATATATAGGCTCTAAATATAACTGGAATGTGCAGGAGGAACGTCATTCCCAGGCAGGGACATGATTTGGCAAACCCATGTCAGTTTTCCTGAGTGCTCACTGGGGCTGCTGCTGCGCAACACAAACGCATAAAGATGCGTTCAATGTTTGCAGCCGGACACAAGCTCCTGATCCAGAGTCAAAAAAGTGAAGACTGTAAGCGGAAAGAAATCGCACGAGTTAAAGTTAAATGTGTTTTTAATCGAGAAAGTGAAATTAGAAATATCTTGTCTAACAATGATGCAGAAAAACTGGTTCATGCATTTGTCACGTCTAGACTGGACTATTGCAATGGTTTGTTATCTGGGTGTTCGAATACTTCTTTAAAAAGTCTTCAATTAATCCGAAATGTTGCTGCCAGAGTCTTAACCGGAGTTAGTAGGAGAGATCATATCTCTCAAGTTTTAGCTTCTCTCCACTGGCTCCCTGTCAAATCCAGAATTTAATTCAAAATCTTACTTCTAACCTACAAAGCGCTCAACAACCTAGCTCCATCATACAGATCATATTGTCCTATATTTTCCTAACAGAGCACTTCGCTCTCTGACTGCAGGCTTACTTGTGGTTCCTAGAGTTTCCAAAAGCAGAATGGGAGGCAGATCTTTCAGTTATCAGGCTCCTCTCTTGTGGAACCAACTTCCAGTTTCTGTCCATGAGGCTGACACATTGTCCAGTTTCAAGACTGGGCTTAAGGCTTTCCTTTTTAATAAATCCTATAATTAGAGTTAGCTTGTTATGCTGCTATAGGTTTACATTACCGGAGGACAAATTGACTTCATTTATTCAAATTAATATTTATACAAGTGAATAGTTTGCATTTGATACTATTCATATCTGAACATGTGATTCTTGACCTGCCATTGTGTATCTGTTCCTCCTTCCTGTTCTCTCAATCCCAGCTGGTCGAAGCAGATGGCCGTTTGTCCTGAGCCTGATTCTGCTAGAAGTTTCTTCCTCATGAAGGAGTTTTTACTTTCCACTGTCGCCTTTGTGCTTGCTCAGGATGAGAGTCTACGACATATCATATTATATATATTATATATACACATATGCAACGAAGTTAAGACTCATAGCAGTCTGCTGGTTCCTCAGATAAATGTTATTAACTTACTTTTTTTGTATGTGAATGTACACTGCAGAAAACTTCTGTTGTGACTTGGTGGTATATAAACTGAATTGAATTGAAAGTATATGGGATGCACATTAATCAGTCCATCATGTCACTACAATACATGCTCTATTCAACCGCTGCTCGACTGCCTGGCTGACATCAGGGACTGGATGGCTTTAAACTTCTTAAGTTTCAATGAAAAGAAGTCTGAAGTCATGTTGTTCCCTCCCAATGACACGATCACAAACCACTGTATCGACCTCTCCAATCTAACCCTGTCAGAAAAACAAAGAGTCACCAATCTGGGAGTGATAATGGACCCTTCCCTGAAACTTAACAATCATGTAAACATGATTGTTAAATCATGCTTCTTCCAACTGAGGCGGCTGTCTAAACTGAAGCCCATATTGTCCAAAAAGAACCTGGAGACAGTAATACTATTAATTACATCTAGGCTTGATTACTGCAATTCACTCCTGTTTGGTATCAGTCAGACCTCCATTGCACGACTACAACTGGTCCAGAATGCAGCAGCCCGATTTTTAACCAGTACAGGCAAAAGAGAGCACATTACACCAGTTTTGGCCTCACTGCACTGGTTACCGGTTCACCTTTGAATCCAGTTCAAAATACTCCTGTATGTCTACAAATCACTGAACAGTCCCCCACGATCGCCCCCCATCTCTCTGATCTGCTACAACCGTATGTCCCACCACATTCCCTGAGGTCAGCGGACCAGTTGCTCCTCACAGTTCCAGGAACTTGTCTTAAGCGCAGAGGTGACAGGGTCTTCTCTGTAGCAGGACCAAGACTTTGGAACGAGTTACCTCTGCTTGTCAGACAGGCCCCCTCCCTCTCAGTTTTCAAATCCCATTTAAAAACTCACTACTATTCAGTAGCTTTCAACACCAGATGATCTGTTTTGAACCTGTACGCTCCACACTGGTTTGTCATCATATTTATTATCTACATTGTTTTTATGTCTATATTTTTGATTTACTTCATTTTGTATATTGCTTCGTGGGTTACCTGTTGTTCTGTCTATACAGCACTTTGGTTGGCCTTGTAGCTGTTTTAAGTGCTCCATAAATAAAACGTTCTTATTTAAATGGTCTATTAGGAGTGTTTTGTACTTCAACAAATAGGGCTGTAAGTTTGTCAACCCTGTTTTGTGGGTCAAAAGACAAAAGGTGTGGGATTCACAAGTCTGTCATTGCAAAGTATCTACTATCTACAGGTAACGTTTAATCCAACGCCTGGTGCTGAGATATGTTAACAAAGCACTGGCACATGACAGAATAAAATACAAGAGATTAAAGCTCAAAATAATCAACTGACGACATGAATGAATACCTAAAATGGAGTTTATCCAGCAGTAATTAGTTGTGTATCATGGATCTCAGTGTAGGGCAGTGTGTTGCCACCATTGTGATTGTCGTAACAACACGTTTTCACATTAACATCAAGCATTTACTTTTTTTTACTAACTTTGCTTTTGTTTGTTTGATTGGTTTAGTTTTATTCCACAAGCACAGAGTTTTGAGATGCAAATATCAAACTTTAGTATAATTTTGACTGGATTTTTATCTGCACCCATCGTCTTATTACACTGAGGAGCAGCTGAAAACGATGAATGCCAAAAAAACAAAAAACAAAAAAAATCACAAAATTATCTTTTTGCTCAGACTTTGAGAAAATTGCTATTAGAGTATAAATAAATTAAACTGTATAAATTATTAAAGTATGGACTGTAATAATTGTTGTTAATCATATTATGTACTGTATTAAGTTTTTGTGTGTATTTATAAAAATGCATATTATTAATTAACTTTTATTGCTGTTTTAATCTTGTTTTATAAGTTAAAGGGGCTTTAAATACAATTTTAACTTTTACATGTAAAACTAATTTTGGTGTGCTAATATTTTTCTTGTTTATATAATGATAATGTATGTTGTCCTTGTTTAAAATATATATATTTAAACAATCGAGGTCTGTTCACATCAGATCTTAAGACAGAAACAAAAAGCAGACAAGTTTATAATTCTCCTGTTAAAAAGATAAAAGTATCGATTTTCATACAAGAGTTAGAAAACTTCATCATTTGGTATTGATCCAGAGTTAGTTGTGAAATACTTATTTATCTATAGTCAATAAGTGACTGTGTGTGTTTGTTTTTTGTGGAAATTTTTAGATTTATACATAGCACATCTATGAGACGTTGACTTTTACTGTGTGTGATGGTTTCAGTGCAGGAGAAACTGAGAACAGTAACAATGATCACATTTAGATGGAGTGGTACTAAAATAGTTCACAGAAACATTTTTGATTCTAACAGCCATCATCAAAGTTATTACTTGCCGTTGTGCTTTTCAGCTCTAAAGTAAAATTCTTGTTCCTATGTCTCCTGCGTCAAAAAGGAACAATGGTTATTAAAATAATTGCTTCATTTTATGCGCCGCAATTAAACTAAAGGAACCCTGAAGCTGAACAGGTGACTTCGGATGAAGAAATACCAAGAATACCACTGCTCTGCACATGACGTCATCAGAAAATGTTTGGATGAAAGGTTCAGTTTGGTTTAAAGTATTTTCTGTCACAAGAGGGCAGTGCTATTCTGTTTACATCTTTCAATGCAGCTCAAGCTGAATGTTTTGTTTGCACAGAGCTCAGTTTAATCAGATGCATCGAAAAACATAATCATTTAAAAGTATTTAGTGTCCAGTGTTTCAGTGGTATCTTACAGCTTTATTTTATTACATAATGAGCAAATTCATTGGTTTGTTTCCACTGCGTAGCAATTTTTATCGTGTGATCAGAATCTTTCAATGAGAATTTGTTAAGACTTTAAATCCAAAGAAACAACAAAAGGTGAAAGGTCATCTACAGGTATCAAGATTTTAAAATACATGCTTCGTGTGTGGGTATGAAAACAAAAACACAAAGACAGAAGGCAAGGACTGTTGTTTTTATTTTAGATGTTTTTCTTGCTTTAAATTTTAAAGTTCGCATCCATTCATCCATTATCTTCCACTTATTCTGAAAGCGGGTCGCGGGGGCAGCAGCTTGAGCAGGGAGGCCCAGACATCTCTTTACACAGCCACCTCTTCCAGCTCTTCTGGGAGGACCCCAAGGTGTTCCCAGGCCAACTGAGAGAAATAATGGTCTCTCCAGCATGTCCTGGGTCTTCCCCAGGGTTTCCTCCCAGATGAACATGCCCAACCCGAAACATCCTTAAGGCTCCCACATATTCGGTTGTACTGTGTGTACTCCGTGAGCCGCACGGACACTGCGCACACTATCCGCAGACGGTTGAGACTTCATACTCGAGCATGCACCCTGATGGGCTGCAGCCCAGCGCTGCAGGCAAGGTGCGTTTACCTTTGGGACAAATTGAGGTTGCTGATTGGTCATTTGCTGACACGCCTACTAGAGTGACTGACAGGTCACAAAAAAAACAACAAAAAAATGAGAGCTGGCAGCCCCAGTCGCAGTGTTCTGTGTTTATATGTTGTTAATAAAAAATTCTAAAAAAAAAAACAGGGAGCGTTGGCC